GACTGACAAGATACAAAACCATACTACGAATATAAATAAAAATGTAAAAATCAGTTGTCAGTCGTACAAAAGAAGCTATGGAACCGCAGCTATGAATATAGCCACTGGTTGTTGCCTGTCAGTGCCTAGTTCGTGCAATAAAACAGCGCAGCAAGTGTTCAATTCGTCCAATAACACACACTACTTTATTAAGACAGCGCCCATGTAATCACAAATACACATCAGGCATTGTATTCTATCAAAACAATTGTTATACTGTAATTTTCAGTGCGAAATTTGAAACATCGAATCACACTGCCATATCGTCGAATGGTCGTTTTATGCGTAACTGCGCATGCGTGATAAATTCAAATTAGTACTATTTAATCTAATTTAATCATTAAACGAATAATTTATGTGATAAACTATCACAACATACATGAACACATCAAATAATATACATTCTTTATTATGAAACTACAATTTGATAAGAGAAGTGTGTATCAGGAAAAATAACACAAAATGTTTACTATGCAAATTGTGCCACTCACCATGTATGGTAATTGGACAGAGATTACCTACACTAGAAAAGCCTGATTTTAGGGGGGTTTTGGGCCAAAAAGTAATTTTAAAATGATTCAAGCCAAATAAAAAAAAAAATGCCCTGGAGATATTCACACAAGCTATCATGATGCCAAGTTTCAGAAAAATAGACTGAAGGGTTTTTGAGATATCTTTGTCTACAGCACACGGACTACGCTTACAGATTGTGATAGCATTAGTCCGTTGGACCGTTGGTCCAAAGGACTAAAAATTTAGTTACATGTAAAACACTTTCTATATTGGATATCGCAGCATTTATGGCAGCCAGCAACTCTTTTAATGCAACAATATATTTCCACGATTCAACAATTATTTGAATTATGTACTGTGGAATACTTTATTTTTGCTGAAAAGGCTTTTTGGGCGTTTTGTATGGAATTTTTTTTCATTGAAAATAGCGAAAATAAATTCCAAGCAAAAATAAACTATTCTACAGTACTTCCATTATAAAAAAACTCGCACACAGGATGACATTAATGCAGTAACTTAATGACATGCATTCATGTACAAGAAATATACATACATAATTATCTCAAATTAGTTGACTAACCCAGATAACAACTAATAAATTCCTACTTTTGGGACCAAATGGTAAAAAAACAAGATACCAAAATGTTTTGTATTTTAGAAAAAAAGGCACGGGTAGATATAATGTTAAAAACTTTGAAATAGCTACACGTTATTTTAGTGAATTTTATTCCATGCATGAAATACAGAATCTTGATTTAGCTAAAGTCTTAGAGTGAGAATATACTTTCTTTCAAATTACCGGTAGATACATTTCACAGATTAGCCAAAATCACATGTTTTACAATTATATTACAACAACATATAGCATGTTTATAATAATTATATTTTCAAATCCCATTATTTTTGACAGTTCAGAGTCATGATACAATTGTGGCCTCATGGTGACAAAACGAGGGCATTTTGGTTCAAGTTCACATCTGATAAAACAATATGGATTACAAGCTTCATAGGATAAGTTATCAGCAAGGCTAAGCTGTGACCTCTGTGACCTCAAAAAGTTCTAATAATAAACATTTACCCATTTTCAGTGTGCTGGATAGTGCTCTATATTAACAGTAGCCTCAATCTCCCAGGCAGAGTTCTATTTCTACGAATATATCTCTGCCACCACGAGATCGTATGCTCATCGTTGATTGATCGATTTGTCACAGTGGTACTACTTTCAAAGACGCCAACCAAAACTTTGCACTGTAGGCGTTCGATTTTCGAACCTGATGAAAGGGTGCGTGCTGTTTGTAGAATCTGTCTGTTTTCAAAGCTTGAAGCTCGTTTTTTACCTTAGCACAAACAGTGTGGCAGTAGGATTATGTAGTTGTCAATACCACAAAGAGCTTTTATTTGTTTATATTTCATCACCTGGCAATCGACAGGATGAGCAGCTATATGAACCAAGTAACACCTTAGTAACCGCTATTATACAATGAAATTACTTTCTTTTGTAAATTATAACTATTTCACTCTTTAACGTGTGTTTATACAAAAATCATTATCAATTATTGATAAAATATTTTAAAACTTGTTTTCCGGTTGGAATAAATCAACAAGGGAGTCCTCTAACAACGAAATCACTCCAAGTCTTGTAGCATTTCACCACAAAATGGCAGTATGTGTTTGGTGTTCTAGCTGCAAGGAACTCTGGGAAGGAGAATGCAGTAGCCCTACACTACTAAATCTTGTCCTAGAGCAACTATTTTCCAAAATCGGTAGCCCAACCAAACTACTAGAAATTCAATTTTTAAATTAACCAATTTATCTTCAAAAATATGGGTGTACACAAATTAAATGTACTGTAAAATACTTTATTTTAGCTGGATTTAATTTTCACTGAAAAGGCTTTTTGGATGTTTTGTATGGAATTTATTTTCACTGATTTTTGGCGAGTTGAATGTAAAATATAAAGAAAAAGGTATATTCACTGGATTTTATTTTCACGGAATCTTTCCTTCAGTGAAAATTCATTCCAAGCAAAAATAAAATATTTTACAGTATTTATTTTCATTAACACTTCTCTGTATGGCTCAAAGTGACTACTAATTTTAGTGAACCAACCAATATTATTATGGCACTACCAGATTTTAAAATTGATAGCCCAGCAAACTTTTTAAAATTTTGTGCCTTGTTTTACGTGAATATATTTCTATTGATAAGTGGACTCACCGACGGGACCTGACTGTAAAAACAGCTCCCATAATAGTGCTTCAGAGACTTTTTCATCTAAACCACCAACATAAACGGTAGCATCTGAGAAAATAAAGAAATCAAGAAGTTTGTTATTGATGAAAATTTATATGAATATATGACATATACGATATATGATTGCCTGATGAGAAAAAATTTCGACACAAAATTTAAAAGTAATAACACAAGCTCACTGATCAACAACTATAACAACTCACAGAAATTTGGGGTGTATTTCAACTCGGAACAATCAGTGCTCTGCCTATAAAGTAATTACTGGAATAATGAAGCTTCTCAAGGCAACCAGTGATGTCGCATGTCTTTTAAAGTTGTTCACTGATTGATCACAAGCAAAAACGCCTCACTATTTATGCAAGGTACACAGGTAACACGAAAAGTGGCCAAATCTGCCCAAATATTCCAAAATTATGCTCTCCCATTTTCCATGGGGAAAACACTGTTCAGATGTAGCCAGTGTTGTGACAGTCCAGTATGTTTGCTTTATGGCTTTAGTTTGTCAACTCATCAGAAAAAATCATTCTAGCCATTCATAATACGCATTGAGATTATAGTCTGACATGTAGGTGTGAGTAGGCCCTCGCCGGCCAAACGGCATCAGACCTCACTAATGCCTGACAGAATAGTGTACTAGTATGTCTCGTCGGCAAGATTTGCGAATTCGCAAAGTTCACGCCTTCATGCACTGGGCAGAAATAAAATCTTTGATGGCTGTCACTAATTGAGACTACTGTTCTTTCTGCTTTTTATGAAATTTAATTAGAACCAAGAGTTTCGTCATTGATTGACAATAAATAACAGTCTGTAGAATCCTGTAACTATCCTTAATTTGTTTTTCCTATTAAGCTTTTAACATCTTTTATTTTTAATTTTATCTTATAGTCTAGCTTCTGTATTTTTTCTTAAGATTTGTATTTTATTTACCATACTGCGCCCTCTGATGGCATAGTAGTGTAATAAAGTTACAGTGGCCCCTCGCTAAGTCGCGCCTCGGTAAGTCGCGATTCGGCTAAGTCGCGGGTACTTGGATGGCTCCCAAAATTTCTATTGTGTTTTGACAGCAGTTTTGAAGTACAAAGACTAATGTTTCGTGGCATAGTATTTTTAACTAACCGTTAAAGAGACAACTTAACACCTACTGTCCGTCAATTGCTGAGACGCAATGGGTGACGGCAGCCTTACTCAAGGTGTCAACAGGGGTGTCGAGTAGTGACCGTACGTACTTCTTGGCCGGTCCCATTTTGGTATACCTTTACAAAAACTCGCTACAATGAGTTGAATTCATAGAATTCTGATCTCTATTTCTCAATTGAGCAGCATGTCAAAGCGAAAGCTACATGTATACAGCCTGTTCGTACGCCATAAACTCACGGCGATCGACCGTGTCAAACCAAGTTAAGGGTTGCACGTGGTTGAGCCCACTATTCGTGGGTGGGTAAAAAATGAAAAGTAAATTTGTTTTCAAAGTTGACCAAGAGGCGGGACTGAACAGAAAAACAAGCGAAAGTGTCCGACAATGATGACACCGATAAAGCTGTTTACGTTTCTTTAAGAACGGTCTGCCGGAACTCCACTATCTGGTCCCATCACCCAATGCAAAGCATACAACTCAGATATGACGACTTTGAATTTAAGGCCAGTTCAGGGTGGTTCTTGCGATGGCAAAGAAGACACGCTATCGACGCACGCAGTCTCAATCCAAGACGAAGCTCGATCTGGGAACATTGACGCTGTCGGAACTTTTCCCGAAAA